CGTCTGATCGTCTTTTTTTGTCCTGCGCTGTCGAGCGCGAGCGCGAGCGCGCTGCCGCCTGTGGATTATATTTCGAGATCCGCGAGGTTTGCGCGGCTTATGCGGAGCGTGTTTTTCTTCGAATAATCGGCGTCTCCACCAAGCACCAAACCACGAAACCAAGCGCCGCGTCCATTGCAACACCGCCCCCGGCCCCCCGCGCCCCCGGTCCCCGGAGCCGGGGCCGGAGCGCGCGGAGGCTCGCCAGAGTCCAGCACACTCAACACAGTGCACAGAGCGCAATCCCTCCTCAAGAGTCTGGCACAGCCGTGTGCACCGACACCCGTCACCCCCTGCGAGCCCGTGCCGAGACTCTAGCCAACGCATCATGCGGCTTTACATCCAGATGCTCACAGGCGGCAACAGGAACAGCATGGTAGGCCTGTGCTCACACTCAGCCGTGGCCTGCGCTCACCCCCCTGGCCAGCTCGTGGTCTGGAGCTTGGCACTCCGCGGGGCCGCGCACGAAACGCTTAGCGCTGCATCTCTTCGCCCTCCGGTCCGCCGGCCTGGCCGTTCAGGTCCATCTTAACGTCCACAGACGAAACGCACTCGGCCGCCTTCCCGCGATAGATGTTCTTGTTGCGAGCGGCGTCGATCACCTCAACGGTGCAGCAGAGGCATGCCGGGCAGCACTTGGGGTACATTGTGGTGGTGCAGTGGCAAAGGATGCACGCGATGCCGACCGTCTTGACGCCGCAGCAAGAGGGGCAGCACTCGCAGGTGGTGCAACACTTGGGCGGGCAGGTGATGTCGCAGCACGTGCACGACGGAGGGCAGGGCCAGCACGTGCACGTCGGGCACGGGCACGGGAGGCAGTCGCACTTTGGCGGGCACGTGATGTCGCACCAAGTGCACGACGGAGGGCAGCAGGTGCACGTTGGGCAGGAGCAGGTCGGGCAGCCGGAGCCGATGTTGGAGCAGCACTCGGGCGGGCACTGAATGCAGCAGCACTTGCAGCTGGGCGGGCAGCACGAGCAGGCCAGGCCCTTGACGTGGAGAAGGCAGCATGGGTCGGGCCCAAAGGCGCACTGGGGTGGGCATGCGCAGAGCAGGGGCGTCTGCCAAGCGTCAAACGTGTACTGCGGCGGCAGGTCCTTGGCCGCCTCCTTGGCCGCCTGGGCCTGCAGGACCTTCTCCTCGGTCCTCACCTTGAGCGCCCGTGTTGTCTCGACTACCAAGCAGCCCTCTTCGTTGGGCTCGAGCTCCATCTCCTGGCCGGGCTTGACGTAGACGTCGCCGACCTTTAGAGCCATCGACGTATAGCCATCCGCATTGGCGTTCACGACCTGCGCCGGAGGGGGCGGAGATCAGGGCAGAGATGTGCGGAGGGGGCGGAGATGGGGGCGGTGCAGCGTGACGGGAACGACCTTGATCTTCATGTCTGCGACGGCCTAGGGGGAGGCGACGGGGCCAGCCAGGAAACACGACGGGCGCCGAGAAGGGCGGGGTCTCCGACAGCGGAGGGCGCCTGGGTCTAAATTTAGAGCGTGTGAATGAACTTTAGTGATAGTTTAGTGCGCTATTTAGTGCGTGTTCGAGTGCGTATATAGTGCGACTTTAACGCAAATTTAGTGCAAATTTAGTGCAAATTTAGCACATATTTAGCACATATTTAGTGTGTTTTATCTCCAATTTAGCGCCACATTTAGTTCACTTTAGGTGCGGGCAGCTGCAGTACATTTAGTGTGGGTCCCGCATCTTTAGTGCGGGCACGCACCTTTAGCACGGCTTCCCGGCCACACCACAGCTAGCCAGGGCCGCGTGCTTTGCTCCTTGGCTGCCAAGAATGCACCACAGGAGATGCCTGGCCCCTGCCCTCATGACCCAAAGGCAGGCTCCCAGTGAGGCTAGATATGCCGCCCTCCAGAGCAAGATCTCCCGACTGAGCACAGGCACAGCACCGATTCCCGAGAGGAGGACCAGCACAGTTGAATGCGCCACCGCAAGCACCACCTCCGACCGCACAACCCATGCTGTGCCCGTGACCACCAGCTGTAATAGAGTAGAGGTGAGGGTCGGTGTTGGAATTTCAAAACCACGCGCCGCCGCCGAGGCAACCGCGCGCCGAGGCCGCAAACCCGTGGGCGTCGGAGGAGGGGCCGGACGTGCAGCGGCTGGCGCTCGGCGGCGATGTCGAGCGTGTGGAGAGCGACGGCGCGCTCGACATCAACGACCCCTTCACCAAGGCGATGCTCGACTTTGAGCCGTCGGCCGACTTCACGCCGACGGTGGCGACGCACGAGATGCTGCTCGCGATGGACCCTTCCGACGTCTTTGTCGTGGAGTGGCCCACGCACTCGTCGCTCGAGCCCGAGTACTACCGCTCGATGGTGCCAGAGGTGCCCGTCGTGCTGTGCAAGGCGTGCAACCACTTCTTCTATGAGGAGGACTGGGAGCTCGCCGTGATGCAGCAGCAGGCGTGCCCCTTCTGCGCCGCGCCGGTCGGCGCCTCATACGGAAACGGCTCTGTCTCTGTGGCCGGCAAGGCGGAGGCGCACCCCAAGGGAGGGGCGTCGCGCGAGGCGCCGGCGCGCGCGGCCTCTTGGAAGGCGGTGGGGGGTGCGGTCAGCGGGGGCGGGGGCGGGGGCGGGGCGTCCGCTTTGGCGGACCTGCTGGCGCGCAGCGCTGTAAAGGGGTGAGCTGGACTGGGCCCAGTACCTCGATGAGGTGACTTGGACCACTAAGAACTGGCTGGGGCTGCAGAAGCAGCGTATCTCGGTCGTTCTTCACACGGCAATCGCAGAGCAGGTTGTGAATGAGCTTGCCTGTGGCGGGGGCGGGCGGGTGCACGGAGCTAAGTGCCTCGCCGCCCTCGCAGGAGTCGCTTAGGCGGCTAATCGAGCGGGCCGGAGTGCCGCTGCCAGCACAGTACGTGCACGGCGTGCCGGTCGGCTGAGCCCGCGACGCCAACGGGCTGCCGCGAGAACTCGAGATACGGCTCTACCGCGAATGTGTGTATATCAAAAGCGCCGAGACAGGAGAGAGCGCAAACGGGGCTCGCGCCGTGCTCTGATAGAGTATATCAAAAACGACACACGTGTCACAGTACACAGAGATATCGCGTATACTCCAAACACATGAGTCATTGACAATTTGAGGGACATGAGTCCCTCTCAAGTAATATAAACAAAAGTGGACTGGGGCCTGCCAGATCGTACATCCGAGCGCTTTTTTCCGATTTGACATTTGTGAGATGTGTCCTGCGTGTGCGGTGTGTCAGGCGTGTTTACGGTGTTATTCGCACACGTCTCGCACATGGACATGGACATGCCGCGCCGCCGACAGCCGCGAAGAGCGGGGTCTCAGTCTGCATGACATGTTGCTTATGGGCATTTGAAGGGGCTATCATCCGGGTCGGGATCGAAGACTGGCCGCGCTGCGGCGGGCATAAGAGCACCCGGGGCGCGCTTGTGGCGACGGCCGCAGCAGCGCCAGCAGAGGAAGCAGAGGCAGAGCGTCAATGAGACTGCGACGCTGCCCGCAACCAGCGGCACCAGCCACGCTTGTCCGTCATTGGCATCGGCGGAGAGGAAGCTTACATCCGCGATGGGCAGGGACGGTGGCATGGGTGGGGGTGGTGAGGGTGGGCTGCTCGGCGGGGTCGCGGGAGGCGCCGATGGAGGCGTGGCGGTGCACTCGACCCGCTTGTAGATGTCCTTGCCGAGGCGGCAGTTGTTGGCGACGTCTGACGTCCCACAACTGCCGTTACCGTCGCAAAATGAGTTGAGCGATGTGCCACCGCTGCAGCCACGAATGATTGCCGAGGTCCAGGGGCAGCCCGAGCTCTCGACAAGCATCAAACAGGTCCCACAGTCCCAGCCGGCGTCGCAACTGGCGCATTCGATTGGTTGCATCCCAAAGCTGCGCCGGGGTGGCCTGCCGCAGCACAATGGTCGGCTTATCAAGGAAGGACGCTAGAAGAATTCTCAAATTCAACAGCGCGGGTCGAGATCACGCCCGGCAGTCCTAGCAGAGAGTCCGAGCAAAATGGTCGGGTTGTGGCAAAAAGAATTTACAGGCCGCAAAAAATTGTTTCGCTAGCTTTTTTATTCGCACTAGGAATCCTACGGGCGAGTAGAGGCCCCCCGCACACGGGGTTCGATTGGGAACGCCCTCTCGAGGTCTCGGGCGTGGCTGCCCGGCTCGTTGCCGAGCGGCGTGCCTCTACTCGCCCGCTCCCAGGCCATTGCGCTGGAGGCCACGCAAAGAGCGTCGACGCTACGGACTCGCAGGTTGTGCCGCCACACAGATCGCTGATGAGGCTACGTCCTGAGCGGCTCCTCAACCTCGCAGCGCCGCTGCTCGTGACGCTGGCGATTTCCTTCTTCTGTTTTCACGAGCTGGGCTTTAGCTGGCGGTGGTCGATCCCGGCAGGCCTCTTCACGGCTGTTAGGATGCAAAAACGTGGCTTCATCTAGGTCCGGATTACGCTGCACGGCATATACAGTGTCACACGTGATGCTTTCGTCGTCCGTCATTGACCCATTGACGTCTTTTACAAATACACCGCAGTCACGAGTGATAGACGAGGATATACGACACGGGCAGCGCCGCTCACTCCGACGCGGCGGGCAGTACGTCACCATAAGCGTCTGTGCTGTACCATCGCATCTGCGCGTCGCCCCCCACCGCCGGCGGAGCGCCGCCTCCTCGCGCGCCGCTGCGGCGCCGTCGCCGAGCAGGAGCAGCGCCCGCCAGAAGCGGTAGGAGCCCTGCCAATCGTACGGCGCGGCGAGCGCGGCGGAGGCGTTGTACGCGGCCGCCGCGCCGGCCAGGTCGCCCTTTGCCTGCAGGATCATCCCCGACCAGAGGTGCGGCTCCGGGCGGGTGGGGTGGAGGTGCTGCGAGACGGAGACGTCCATGACGACCGCCTCGGTGATGCCCGGCTTCTGGTCAAGCCTCGTGGTGGTCGATCAGCAGCTTGCGCACCGGGTACCTGCGGACGCGCCGTGGACGTGTCGGCGGCCATGTCAGGCGGACGTGTGGGTGGACGTGTCAGGCGGACGTGTGGGTGGACGTGTCGGCGGACGTGTCGGAGGACGTGTCGGAGGGTGGCGGAGTGGAGGCGGGCAGAGTGGAGGCGGCGGTATCGACCGGCGGGGTGGGCGTTCCTCGGGGCGGTGGTGGAGGCAGCGGCCGGGGCGGGGAGGGAGGAAGGTTCTCGGAAGGTTCGCGCACAGGTCGGCGAAGAGGGTGCGCATGAGCCGCGGGACCTGCAGGACGGCTCGAGGGAGGGTCTCGGAAGGCGTCTCTCGGAAGGCGTCTCTCGTGCAGGCGGGGGAGCCGCGGCGCCTCCGGGTTGTTGCGCTCTCGCGTGCGCATCTTGGAGTCCTTCTTGTAGCGGTACTGGGTGAGGAAGTCGTCCAGCTTGTGCGGCAGCAGCGGCAGCCGCGTCAGCTGCAGCCTAATCTCAGAGACACAGCGAGCTGTCGGACACAGCACCGAGTCGAGCGGCAGCCGCTCCGTGAGCTGCAGCCAGAAGGCCCAGTCTTCGTGCCCCTTTGGGAGCGCCTCGTCGAAGCCGTGCGGCGTCGCTAGCCAGAGGTCCTACCGTTCACTCGAGCAGTGGCGAGGCCTCAAGCGGCTAGCCCTAAGACCCGCCGTACAAACACCGCGGACACGGGGGCTTGACCTCTGGGCTTGACCTCTGGGCTTGACCTCTGGGCGAGTGCAGCCGAGTGCGTGGCTTGCTGACGGGCGAGGAGAATGGACTCGCACCCACGCCAGAGGCGGGACACGGACTCGGCATCTAGCCCGCGCTCCTTCCTCCACAGAGTCATCAGCGGGAGCGGGCCGTTGACCAGCGCGTTGTCGGCGCGGAGGGGCGGCACCGTCCACTGCCAGCGCGAGCCGTCGAAGAACTGCTGGTTGGCATAACTCGTCACCCGCCGCGCCCTCGCCCGGCCGCCTCACCGCGCGTGGAGCGCTCGGCTGCTCGCCGCCGCCGCCGCGCGTCCCGCGCCGCCACGCTTGCCCCCCCTTGCCGGACGCGCGCTCTGTGCAGCGGCGCGCGGAGAGCGCGCATCTCTGGCACAGACGGAGCAGCGACCGCGCCAGCGGTCGCTGCTCCGCCCCTCCGTCGCGCGCGCCGCGCGCGCGCTGCCGCCGCCGTCGCCGCCGCCCCCTCCTCGCCGTCTTCCCCACCCCTACCCTCGGTTGCGCGCACGCGCGCACCGCGCGCTGCGCCCCCCGCCCACGCCCACGCCCCCCCCCGCTCCCACCCAAGCGCCCCCCTTGGGTGTGCGTAGAAGTGGAACCGATCGAGAGGTGGCAGAAGCCGCCGTGTGTGACACATATTGCGGCACGTGAGTGAGACAGAGCCCCGGCGCGCGCAGCTCGCGGCGCGGGCGTTTTTGCAAACATGAAAACGGGACGTTCTCCTGCGTCGGTCCCCGCGAACCCCACTATATAGCGCCACCTCGTGAGCTGTCCTGTGAGCTGTGTGTTGTGCGTCCAGAAGACAGCGCCGTCGGCCGTGAGCGTGAGGGCGCGAAGCCACTGCAACTCCCCTACTGCGTCTCGCGCGCGATCGCGAAGA